GTAATTTTAATTTATTTGTAGATTTATAGACAGGAAATGTGAGTGAAGTAAAATAAATTTGTTTAAATGAACTTAAGAAAAAATTTCTTGATTATTTTTTCATAATTTTGTGATGCTTATCTAAGGCATTTATATCAGTCATTGACTTGCCAACTGCAGAAGGAAATCCCAGTTGAATACAGTTTTTAAATATTATAATAATTGGTAGAGTAATTATTTTACACTGAAAGTACACTTTAATATTTTATATACTACCGTTGTTTAATCCATGCCATTTTGTGCTTTACAAAATGGGATTGCTCCAGTACATTTGTATTGTAATCAGCAGCTAGAATTAACCAGAAGTACTGATTAAAACCTACAAAATCTTAATATATGAAACCTGATATTAAATATATATATATATATATATACAAAAATCTGTCGTCTAAAAACAGTAGATTTTTGGACTTATTTTGCATGCCTGTAATTGGCTGCACCAGACAGGAGGCATGGAGAATTAAGCTCATGATAAATGATTCTGTTATGCTATACTGACTATTTTGATTATTTCTAGCACCAGGACCTGCCTCTTGGCTCTTAATTTCTTTTTTTTTTCCCTTTTCCCTCTTTCAATGTAAAGGGTAGAATTCAAATAGCCTTATTGTGCAGGATTTTAAGGTAAAGAGAATGTTGTATGGTGCTGTCTTGATCTCCCAGCATTGCATAAGAGTCTCATAAAAGTATAATACCTTAACATAGGAAGGTCCTTGGGACTGGAGTGGGGTAATTTCATGAGCCTCGCTGAGGGTTACTATTTATTTTGCCCTGGTAAAGGCAAATTAGAATCAGGTTGCTGTGATTCCTCAGCATGACTCTAGATCACTTCAAAATAGCAATTATAATAATAAAAAGAAATCCATGTAAGAAAATTTCATAAGTAGCTCTGTAGTTTAAGAAAAAAATTAAAATGCCTGTAGCAATATACAGGTACTCTTAAAGCACACTGTTAACAGCAGCAGGGCCCTTTCCAGCTCCCAGGTCCGCATTCAATAAGTAGCTCCTTCCACCCGTGTGATATTACACAACACAGAACCATCACCTATAACATGGTGCCACTAAAATGGCAGCTTTTAACTTGTGGTGGTTGTTGAGTTGGTGCTAAAAATTCTTGTGACACACAACCCACCCTGACACAGAGAGAGAAGCTCATCGAATTTTTCAGCACTAGATGACAGAATATTGTATCACAGAAACTGCTGATGTAGGACAAGTGCATGGCATCTCACCAGATCCACTTGGACCTCAATTCATTGTGTTCTCCAGCCTGTGTAAATAAACATGTAGCAACATCACAGGGATTTAGCAGTGACAGAGATGACTGTCCAGGCAGAGGATTCTCAGCCTTGGCTGAGTCTATGATAAGCGTTGTGGTTCTCATCTGTTGAATTTCATGGATTCACAAAAAAAAACCCCAACAAAACAAACAAAACACCCACACACAAAACCAAAAACCAAAAACCAAACAAACCCAAACAAACAACTCTGGTTTGAATTAAACCCAGATTAATCGGTATCTTTGTTTCAACCATAAATATAGAGATATGTTCCCGAGTTCGTTAAGAATTAGTTTGCTTTTAAAAAAATCTGAAATCTCTTTCTGCTGGCGCGCACACACACGTTCATCCGAAGGGGGAAGAGGACTTCGCGTTTACATTCACGTCACGGTTCAGTTTTAACATTAAACACGGTTAACATCTCTAAGCCCTCTGCTCGTTCTAGTTCGGCTCCTTTGCTCGCTGGCAGGCGGCTGGGCGGGCAGACGAGCGTGTCCGTGTCGCGGTGCCCTGTGCGGGGGCACGGCCGGGGGGGGCCCCTTTGTTCTGCCGCGCTGCCAGCGCCGGGATCCGCGTGTCCTGCCTGCAGTTTCCCACATTTCCAGTAGATGCCCCCAGAGACCATTAAACCCCTTGAACGGCTCCGCTCCAACCAGAGGAAAGAGCAGTCTTTTCCCATTTCGCTCCTGGAAGTAACATAATTGTCCAAACGAAACCTGAAGTCGGCGCGGACGCAATGCAGAAAAACAAACTCGCTTGTTCACTAGTAAATCATAATTTATTAGGTTGTAATGTTCAAAATGTTTGGTGTAAACTAGCTCATTAATGTAGTAGGAACATACCATTAACCGTTGGATTTTATAAAATAAATCATAGATCATAGAATATCCTGAGTTGGAAGGGACCTTAGAAATCAGTTATTTGATATTGATATCGCCAATCAAGTAATCTTTTGGTTATCCAAAACATGAGGTGCTCTGTTTAACCTCGTATTTCACACTCTTTATGACATCACAGAAAGCAGGATGGAAAGGGTTTTGAGGATTTATAGTTTATCACAAGGTATCACGAGAAGTTTACTGCTGTCACCTACACCATACCTCTGTTCAAAAGAACTGTTTTTTAGGGGAAAAAAAAAGGACATTGGAATTTTCATCTGGAAGCACTTTGTAACAATTTCAGAATTCATTGCCACATCAAGCTCTCTTATATGACACAAATACCATTCATCCCAGTGATATCATTAATCTCTTGCCCTATTTTATTGTTTGTGTGTGATCAGTCACTTGTGCCTTATATATTACAGAAACTTAAGGAAACAATTGTAGTAATATTTTCTGTTTGTAACTGAGAGATTACTTTTATGTTTATGCCACTGAATTTGAAGGGTTATACAGTAGATAGCTTCACTGCTTGTGTGCTAAAATCAGTTCTTTTTACCTCAGAAAAAAATGTGCTCTGTACTGTATGATTATTTCAGCATTATTTCAATGTCTTCCTTAATTGGGATGGGATTTATTAAGAGACTATTGACACTGATTTTTAAAACTGATGTGTTTTACTAGATGCTTTGTTTCCCTTTATTGGTTTGCTAATAATGCTTTCTAGTGGGGAAAATGTGCTTTGAATTCAAGTGAACAGTCTACAGAAAAGAACATGTTACACGGGCACAGTTTTTTCTATTTATATGAATCTCAATGCTCTGCTCAGTGAGTATGCAGTGAGTGATAAAAATTAACTGAATGATATTTTGGTTAGTCACTGTTAAGATTTTTTAGCAGCACTTCTTTGTTTACTTCCAATACATCTAAAGATCTAATGCATGTACACATACAAACATATATAGATCCCACTGTATAAATAAATATGCAGGTATGTGTGCCTGCTATGCAGATTGGTATTCCACTGCTATCAGTTATATTAATGTAGGATCCAGTCCTAGGCCTTTGGAAGTTGGTAGGAGTTTTTACTTATATTCTTCAATCTTTTGTTAGTTAGATAGGATTTTAAAACAGGAGAATAAAAAAGAAGAAAGTATTCTATACAGAGTAGAGAATACATTGCATGCTATTAGCATAATATCTTCACAGTATTTTTAAGATCTATACGCTGCATTTGCTGTATGTCAAATATAACATATTCTGCAAAATAAAATTTAAATGTTTAAAGATATTTCCCATTTACTTTTCTAAGGTAAATGTTGCAAATGTTTTCTGGTGCAGAACAGTTTTATCTTTTCCCTTGACTGTTTGAGCTATGTGTGCTTTTCAGTCTCAAAAACCATCTCTTTATATATTAAACATAAATTCAGTACTATCGAATCTATATCGTATCAGGATTATTTAATATTTTTATGTTTAGCTCTGCAACTGAAATGTAAAAAATACACTGTGGAGGATTAGTGTGAATCTGTGTAGTAAGAGATTTTATTTTAATTGTGTTAAATACAAAATAATGCAGATCATTTTTTTCTTGCATCTTACATTGCTGTTTATTTCAATGCCATCTAGCTAAGAAGTTTTTCACATCACTTTCATCCTATCAGCATTGCTGAAGAACTACAGAGGCTGTTTTTAGGCTTGAAGTATTAGTCTCATTAGGATATTGTTTAGTATGAAATCATCTGAATTTATTACATATATTTTAAGTCTCAGTTTTCAGAATTCCGTATTTATTTTAAAACTGCTAAGAATTTGAATTTAAATAGATTTTAATCTTAAAGGACAGTCTTGAGAATAGTTTAGAAACTTAATGGAATATACAGAATAGAAGTACACATCTGTATCCTTGTCATTTTACTGGGACAAAGGTTTGTTTTCCCACAGTAGGTACCTATCCGTGCAAACCTTTACATCTGGTACCTTAGTGTTGCAGGCAGTCCCATTGGACTCATAGTTTTCTCTAGAATAGAACACAATGAATGTTTCATGAACTGTAAAAGAAATATTTTGATTATTTCCATAAACAATACCTCAAAAGATATATTAGCTCTTGAGAATATTTGATGACACAACTTTTTAATATGCACGTCTTGTCAGAGTTTATGAATGAGATAAACTTTGATATAAATTCATTCATAGCATCATTTGATTGTAAAATTAGGGAGAAATTATCAAACTTTTGCATCAGTAAACCAGTCCCAGCTGAAGTTATATGCTAAACAGAAGCAAAATAATATCTAATGATTGTGTTTCTGGCATAGCATTTGTTTGACGTTTTAAACCAAGCCATCATGTCCTACAGCAAAACTATTTAACATATACGTTGTTTTGACGTGTGGAATGTGCCTCATTTTTCCCTGTGCACTGTCTTAAAGCAAACTAAGAGTTCATTGTGTTTTCATGAACTAATGTAAACGTGGGGGTTTTTTTTCCCATCAGACAGCCTTTTTTGCCAAATACCAGCTAAAGTATACCAGTGTATTTTTTTTAACATGTTTTCAATATATATATATATATACACAGGTATTTATTCATTATTGCCATGTTTACTTCCCTGGGGTATGGCATTTGTAATCATATTATAACAGATCACTTTTTGAGCGGGGGAAGAAAATACCCGTTCCCTGCTGCTGAACTGCAGAGATCTCTTCTTGAAAGCTGGTTTAGTTATCTGTACTTATTTGGTGAGGTGGAGAACAGAATACAGGTTTAAAGGCTTAAAATCTGTCTTTCTTATTCCCAGTAACAGGAATTCATACACGAAGAACATCTGCATAGACATGCTGCGACGGGGTTATCACAAGTCCTTCTCCGAGCTCTTCACTCTGATACAGAAGTGGAATGCCTTGAGGGAGGCTGCAGGGCCTGGGTCAGCCATATGGCATGAGAAGTCCCTGGAGGAGCAGCCTGATAAGCTGGATCAGCTTTACCACTTCCTGACCAGGGCTGAGACAGCCCAGCGAGCAGGTAAATGGGGGGATTGTGGGTAGCGGAGCAGCGGGAGCCGCAGCCGCGAATGCCTGGGGGAAGCTGCCAAATTGTTTCATGTATGAATTTGAAACGTTACTGCATCTTAGCACATTTCAGCCTTAGTCAACTAAGCTGTATTTATAGAATAGATGATTAGGAGCTGCAGATATCAGGAGAGGTTTTGTGAAGGAAAGGAAGAGGGGAAAAACATGTAGAGTGCATTATGATATCATCAGAAATGTTTGATGTATTTATAGCTTTGATAACATCTCAATTATTTTCTAATAGTGTCATTATTTATTGGGGGTTTTCTCTACTGATTTGAGTAGCTGGTTTTGTATTAGAAAAATTTAATAGGTGAAATGCTGTTTCACACAGTAATAGTTTTATAAATCTGATTTTATTAAATACGCTGTCTGCTAACTGTGTTTGGATTTGTGACTGACTTAAAAAGGATTGTGAACATGTCAAATAAAATACAGCACACAGATGTAACATGCCACCTGTGAATTACTAGATATTAGTGAGGACATAACTCCAAATTACTGTATTTTCTCTATTGCCTACTATTTACTAAGCACTCATATTTATCATTTCCTTTTACTATAAATAGTAACATAACTTACTCCATCTTTCTGTTTTGGAATAGTTGTAGGGAGGGAGGCAGATAACGCTCTAACTGCAATCCTGATTCTGCCTGAGTTGATTTCACTGTAGTTAACTGAATTTGGACTCTAAGTTTTTTGACTGAAATGTAGAAACAGACATCTTTATTTTAGAAAGGAACAGCAGAAGAAACCCTTTCAGCCCTTAAAAAAATAAAAAAAAAATTAAAATGTTTATTTCTTATGTGCCATGAAAGTCAGAAGTTGTGTTTCTTTATTTAATTCACTATAATTCTAGACAGGAAGTCTATCCAGCCATGACTGGAAGGAATCTTCAGATTTTTCTGGACTATGACTAAAACCTGAATAGGTACCTCCATAGCTTGCAGAGCATAAGAGAGGAGTTTTGTGTTTGGACTGCCCTGACAGAAGCATTCTGCCAACACTTTGATGGTCAAAAAGTAGTGGTCAAGGCTTATCTTGATGGGCCTGCTCCGTGCAGCTGCTTGAGGAGAACATTTTGCCTTCCTTCAGTGCATGGTATTTTTCACAAACTGATGTGTGGGAACAGAGTTGGCAAATGTACTCCCAGAGAGTCAAGGTGCTGCTGGCTGGGAGTTCCTGCCCCTGTGAAAAGCAGGGAGCCTTTCTTTCACTGAACCCAGCATTTGAAGCTTGCCGGGCTCTTGAACTTTTTCACTTCTCACAGAGACAAGGTACCACGAGGTGTCTGATTGCACCTTGCCTCTCCCAATTTTCCCTTTTAAAGTTGGCTAAAATGAAAGAAAAGAAAATCATGACAACTTACCAATAGAGTTGGCAAATGTCTTTACTGAATTGCTAGATCAAGGTAGTTTTGATTTTTTTTCCACCGGTTTCAGTGCAAACCTTTGCACAAATCCCATGTTCATAGGAAATGAGGTGTGAGTCGCCCGGCAGGGGAAGGGTTGGATGGTAATTCATGTTGCAGGTCTGAGAGCTTGTAGTGCTGTGAAGATACATGTGAATTGTGCAGCTCATCAAACACTAATTCAGTAGTTCCACTAATCCAGTTACTCTCAGATTCTAATCAGATTGCTTGGGGCTCTGGCTTATGATCTCCTGACAACTCCAGTTGACACCATTTAAGAGGCATTCAGCAATTCACCTCAGCTGGAACCTGCCATGATGTAGCAGCCACTACAGCAGCTGACCTGAATTTGCTTTTCAGCTGCCACAGTTCAAGCTTACAAGGATGAAAGTAACGCTTAGAGCATTGGGAGAGTTTCATAGTGTGGTTGATGTTACTAATATTAGGCAAGCTGAAAGTTTACCTGTTTCAGGTAAAATGTCCTGAGCTAACAGTCATGCTGAAAAAGAGATAGCAGATATGAATAATGAAAATTAAAAAATCATTACTTTTAAGTTTATTCATTAATTGAAATGTAGTGAAATGATTGGTTTTGAACCAGAAGTGGTAAGGGGAAAACAAAACTTCACTTACTCTCTCAGTAAATAATTTTCCTAGTTTTCATTTGATTTTTCTCACCTGATATTTCTGGATGATAGAATGTTGCTATCTTAATTGTGAATAACCTAGAACTGCTAGGTTTAGAGTTTTGTGGTACTTACAGTAGCGCACAGAGTAATCTGGGTGTTCATTTACTATTATTGGAAAATGTTAATGTTTTAATGGTTTTGATAGTTCACAGTTATAGGCACTACAATGTTGGACATAAATTATTTGCTTGAACAGATTCAGCGCCATCCACCACAAAGTGGAGACCAATATCAAAGAGCAATTGCTTTCTTTACTGCTGGGTTTAAAAACAGTGGCATTTTGTTTACCAGCATTACATTGTGCAGACTTATTACCTTTATATACACCACTGAATGTTCCCTCTGTTTTCATTTTCAATGTAACATTTTGATTAAACTTCAAATCATACAGGACTTGTCTTTTTTTGGTTGATTATTACCAATATTTTACTGTGTGCAAAGAAAATACCTACCTTCTGTCCAACTTAATCTTGTTGTTGTATTTGAATATCTCCCAAGTATTTAAAAATACAGAGCTAGTGTTAATACCTGCAGCTTCTCAGAAAAAGAGCTGACAGAGTTATTTGGCCCCAGGTACAGCATTATCCTAAAAAGACTGGCAGAAATAATGGCGATACTTGACTGTATTCCTATTTGATCTTTTTTGTACAAATAATATAAATGTTTCTGACCTGAAAATTGACTTGTTTTTAATTACTCCTTGATGTTCCTTCATTATCCTGAACTAACCTCTCTTTTTGCTAGTTCTGGTTTCAGTACCTTGAAGAAAAAAAAGAGGTCATTTAGCTGTTTAAATATGTATAGTTGTAGGGCTTTTTACAGAAGAATGCAGGATAAATGCCAGAATAATGTACCTGCATAGCTCAGCATTTGATGTATACAGTGATTTCTTGGCACATTTATGAAAGTATCGGGGGTTCTTTCAAAAGGCAAATTTTATATTTTGAGGCCATGGAATAGCCTCCCTGATTGCACTGTTCAGACTAATTTCACTTAAAGGTACAGCTGTCCATGAAATGTGTAACCCAGTGCTGACAGGTTGTTGTTGCTATCCCTTTGGAGAGCCACAGCTCCCAGTGTATTATGTGCCTGAGACAACAGTTCATTATAATGATAATGTAGCTGTTTCTCAGATAAAAATATTTAGAAGTGAAATTAAAACCTTTGAGCTGCTGCTTGCACAGATTTTACCATATGACTGTAACTGATTCTTTAAATCATTCCTTTGCTTCTGCAGTCCATTTTACTGTTTTAAAATGCATTGGGTCTGTGTGCTTATTAAGCTAGGCCATTGTTTGAATAGTCTTAGTCTCTTTGAGGTATTGCGTAGCTCCTTTTATTTAGTTAATTAGTTAGATGGCACTGATTCTATGAGGGAAATGACTGATAGTATGCAGGTATTACTGTAAAGTATCATTTTCGTGTTTTAGGCTGAGGCCAGCCTCTTGGTGGAGGATTTTGTCAAGCTAAAGGTCATCTGTCCCACTATTATTACAGAACTACTTGGAAAGTGTTGCTCTTCAAATTACATCTGAATTACATATTAAATGCATGTTCAAGTCCTTACCTTGAACTAGCAGAGGCCTTGAAGTGCTGATGTGATCAGGACTTGGTAGAGGAATCAGTTCAGCTGTAGAAGTTGAAGAGAATGCATGGCAGGTTACAGCTCAAGAACAACTGAAGGAAGAGATTTGTCAGATGTTGCCTCTGCTTTGCCAGAGCAGGAGAGTAAAACCAGGGAAAATGCCACAGTTCACTGGCTGCGATGTACTGAGCAGTCAACACTGCTTGGCAGATCAATGTGCCAAAGCCAAAGGATGCAACCTGTGCTTAGGTGTGAACATGCCTTCAAAAAAGCAAGATGCTGCTCCTTACTGGGGCAGCTGGTGAAGAGTAGAACTTACGACCTTGAAGCTGTTGCCTTTCTGAGATTCCGTCTGCTCCTGGTTCCTGACCCCATTCAACCTTTATGATATGCTGTACACCAAATGCTCGATCTCTGCATGTGCTGCAGGCTGCTGACCCTTGTTCTAGGGAGTATCAGACACAGAGAATTAGAAAAAAGTGCTAATTTGGCTCTTTTTTTCCTTACTTTAGTGTAGAGCAAACTTTTGACAGTATGAGTTATCATTTGTTTCTGTTATGAAAGATATCTTTTCATAAAGTATATGAAGAAAGCGTGAGTATTTGATGTGTTTGCGCTGGAAAATCTTTCTTTGTCCAAGGTACTTAAGGTTGAAAACAGTTTAGCATTTTACAGTAGAAAGCTTTTCTGTAAGATTTCAGACTTATGCCTTAGGCTGGACTGGAAACATTGCAATAACCACATTACCCATGCTATTTTGAAAAAAAAAAAAAAAGAGAGAAAAAATTGAGAGAGGTCATGCATTAAAAGAGAGAGTATAAACATACCAAACCCTCTTTTAATATTTGCTTGGATGAGGCATAGTTTTGTTTGGTTTTGGGGAAATGGGGAAAGGAACAGTGTTTTATTTTCTGAGAAGGTTTGTTGTTCCCCACTTAATATTTTATCACAGGAGAAAATGCAGCAGTTGCTGGAGACAAGTAGATTTTATTATTTTTGTAATTATCTTACAAAAAGTTGAAGTGATTCTCTCCAGGAAAGAAGCCAAGCTGTCTCAAAGTACAGCCAGTTGTGGAATTAACCATTGACTTCAATGGAAGCAGCATTTCTTGGAGAATGTCTATAGTGTGTTTTCATTGCCAGTGGCTTGGAGTCTCCATTTAGCTTCCCAGATTACCAGTTAATTGCCTTATATCATTATCACTAGATAGCTTTGTTCTTACTAGTAAAATTTTGTCCTGACCATTTCCTTAGCATCTTTGTGCAGA